AATATAGACTGAAGCCATGAGTAACTTCCCAGATAATTATGACTTCATAGAAACATTTGGTCAAGATAAGAGTTAAAACAACTATGAGTAGGCATTCTGGTAGAGTGTGGATAAATCTAAATTTTATGTCCATGATTTTTTTTTAAGTTTACTCTTCCTGAACATTGAAGCCATCATGCTTTACTATTTTGCATGCCCATGTTAATTGGAATTCTAGGCCATCTACTCAGATATTAAGCAGAAAACATTTTTATATTATATGTTGAGTTGTAACTGTAACTAGCCAAGGCAAAAGTTGTATGTCACTTTTAAAAAAAAATCTGTTTCCTACTTAGATGATTTTTGTACCTAACTGTTGCAGTGCAGTATGAAGCTATTACAACAATGGGAAAAGCATGCCATATTGATTAATTATATAAAATATGTTTTAATAAATTACAACTATAGCTGGCGTAACCTGGTTGGATCACTCACCAAAAAGGTTGAATTTTAAATAATGAATGTACTTGACAATCTGTGTTAAGAGGCAAGGATTTCTTAGGGTGGTATCTTTTACTAGACCATCCATACAGTCAGGATATAGTTAGGTAAGTTTTGAATGCAAAACATTTTTTGTCAGGTCTCACTTGAGAATTTAGCTAGTTGCTTTCTATAATTCAGGAACAGGAATAAAAAAAGTAAAAAATTGTTAGCTACATTATTCCTTATAAGCTATTTCCTCAAATCAAGTTGCATCTAACCTGTATCAAATTTGAATTATCAACAGGGCAGGGAAACTGAACTTCCTACTGTGATTTTTCTGAAGAAATGTATTGCCCCTGTAAGGTCCAGTTTGTCACCTCAAATGCATAGTTACGTGTCATTGTATATCATGTAAAATCCTGTATTTGTGCTTACCTTCAGTGGCAGCTATTTCAGGAAACAAATATATTAAAGCATACTGTAGTTTAGATTCCTGATATATTGTATACTCAAATAAACGCCCATATTTTTCTATCAAACTTGTGCTAAAGCATTTTGTACTTTACGTATACACCTATAGAAGGTTGCCAATAACTATAACCAGCTGAAAGAAGCCATAGGTGCTAGAGATAGGCAATAAAAGCAAATTAAAAGCTTTCCAAATTGATTGTTCATTCTACATTTCACAAGCGCTACAAATCAGAATTTCCAGCACACTATCCATACCTGTTTCAAAACTAACACAAATTTACTGCTTGGTTTTGAAGAATAAAAAAAAGTACAGTGCCTTTCAAATGATCACTGCTTTCCTACAGGTGGTGCTCTAAAACTAAATTAGTTCAGGTCAATTCAAATGGTGTCTAATCAATTAATGAACCAAATATATGTAAAAAAAGGCAATCTATAGAGTCAATGTTTTGACAAACAAGTGACTTTATTTCATGACACTTAAAAATTTCTCTTTACTGATTTTTTTTTAGCATGTATTTTTTAAAATGTGTATCTTTTCAAACACAACTTTTTTTTTAAACAATCTAAATTTTGCTAGTGTGCACCTTCTTAGGATATTTCTTCTAAGCCCGTTTTTAATCCGTAAGGAAAAGCAACAAAATGAGCACATAAAAAATGTGACCTTTGACTATTAAGCATACACAATCAACTTCTCCAAAACATGAAGTATGATGCAAACTTTTTGTGTAAATTCTCAATTATTTCCACTCCCTGGTTCATCCCTTTATTGCTATGATTCAATAAAATAGTAAGAAGTGTTAAATTGAATATTTCAGAAGTGTGTTTTCCACATGAAGCAATGTATTACAGTAAATGTCTGGTTCCTGAAGATGCATGAGGCTAGTGGGGACAGAACCTGAAATATCCAGAAATATGTCTAAAAAATGTTCTTCATTTCTGACACATGGGTCTATTTTACCTTTCAAGCAAGTATAGACTCAGACTACACATGTGCTTTGAGAGGACAGTAGATATGCAGAAAACTATGCACATTTTTAACATCAGTTCAGAGCAGTCCATTGATTTCGCATCATCTGTATGTGATGCTGTAAAACAAATCCTCATACATAATTTTGTAGGTTAAATGGCCTAATCATGTTCACCATGAATGTAAAAGGAATAGTAAATATAAGTTCTCATCTCCAGCCCTCGCTGTCAGTAGCCTCTTCTCCCTTAATCAGTTTGCAGACCTGTAATCCCAAGAGATATGACTAAAATCCAAGAAGGCTAGAGAAATGACACCTTTATGACACAAATTGAAGAATACTTTATCCAGCTGAAATGGCAGTGGCATTTAGGAAGATAGAATTTAATTACCTAGTGAAAATTTGGCCAGGAAACTGAGATAAAAAGTAAGAATCCTGATCTTCAAAAAGATCAGTATTTAATCTATAATGATCCTACGTATCTTAGAATTTTATTTTTAGAATTGTCCACTATATGGCAACTCCTGTAAGGCCTGAGAAGAGTGCCTTTTGCTGAGTAAAAATGGAGATTTTTCCCTTGACAATCCTATCCCAATACCCCATGATCAGGTTAGTCCATGCTTAAATTGAGCTGTAAACCGAGACCCCTCAAGCTATAAGCATCTAGCATGCACAAGACCAGGGATTCTCAGTCTTTCTCAGTCTGCAAGCTCACTTCCAAGGCAAACCTGATTCTTGCAAGGGAATTTCTATGGAACAGGTTAATTGACTTGTGTAAAGTCCTAAAGAAAGTCTATGGCTGAGCTGGGACTTGAAGCCAGATCTCCAGAGATCAAATGCATGGCAATTTGTCCATGTTGATGGCCAAAACAAATGCTGTGCTGGATTTTGTGAAGTGTTCTTTGAATGCTATAGCAGACAGTTTGAACAAGTAAGATACAGACAGTGAAATGACCCTAGAAACTAAAGCTAAGTTCATGTGCCAGATCAATCTTCTTAAGCTAAGACCAAAGTACCCAGAAAAGCAGCTGCAACCAACTGCCTCTGGAGTTTCCCCTTTCATGATGTTTTGCAACTGGGAGATTTAAACTCACCCTAAAGCCATGATTTGCTGCTTTCTTAAAGCCTTCATGTGGGTTGAGGAGATAAATCTCCATAGACTCAAATGGATGGGCCTTTGGAGTGATATGGCTGCTTTGTGCTGTACTGCCAGTATAATAAAACCCCACTCAGCAGCAGTGTAAGAATAATTTGGCAGAGGCATACATCTCTGCAGTAATGTTGTAGTTTGCCATGGTCCCTTTTGTGCAGCCAGCATTGCCAGAGAAGGGGGCCTGGTTACACTTGGTCACAGTCAGGATGCCCCTTGACTATCTTAATCCTTATATTGTCATACCTTTGTGGAACATTACAATTCAGCATGATGTAGGGAGGAAGCAGCGCACAGCAGCCCAATTCCTAGAGCTCTTGAGATTAGAGTTTTAAGTTTCTTTTTCCACAGCTGTGATGCTAACTCTGTGTATTCTGGCCGTGCCCGAGCATCTGACCTAACAAACATACCTACAAATGGAAGAAACTGAGTAAGAACAAAATGACAAATTTAGTAAGGTCCACTGCTGTTCAGTTGAATTCAGCTTGATTTCCTGGCAGTCACAGTAGTTCTGAGGCTGTGAAATGTAAAGTAGCGCCTAGTGTGTCTAGTTTGTGGTGTTAATGTGGTAAGCACTGCTGGCAAACCCCAGGCTCAGCAAGTGTGCTTTCCCAAACTGCAACCATAAGTGGTTTCTGCCCTTCCCTCCCCAACCCACACACACAGCCAAAGTGCCTTGATTTGTGTTAATGTGAGACATGACTTTGCCAGAAGTGCAGTGTGGGGGTTGGTACTGAAAGAAATGTGATGCCTAATATGTCTGAAAGTCTTAGAAATTTCAAGCCATATCAGCCACCACAATAAAAGTATGTCTTTTAACTGTGAAAATTGTGACATTGCTGTCAAAGAACTCAAATGAAGCCGGTGCCCAATGGACCCTAACAGGACAGGCTTTCAGATTAAAAGAGTATTTCGAACTGATAAATCTATTGTGATGAATTTCATGGAGTTTAGGATTCTGTGTTTTGACTGACTGTACAAATTACAACTACATCCTGCCTTAGTCATGGTTTAGAAAGCCTACTTTAGGCTTGGAGAGAAATGACAAAAGTCACTGAGGAGTGATGGTGACTGCTGCTGTTATACATATTACAGTAGCAATCTGCTCCCACCACAATCAGGTCCTATCATACTGGGGCCTTTACAAATACGCATTACAAGAGTATCCCAGTTCTGAATAGCTCATACTCCAAATAGACAAGGAAAGGAAGGGTATGTCTGCACCACAAGCTAACCGTGATGGACAGCGGGCATGTTCTCACATGTCGTGCTGCTCTGCACATACTATCTCCAAACGGGAAGCAAGGTAGTGCTGCAGCAGGTGAAATGGCTCTTCGCCTTCAGCAGTGCTAACTAGTTCACTGCTTCTGGTTTTAGAGGGCCTGGATTTGGAGCAGTACTGTGTATTTGACTATATTGCTGCTTTGCAAAATCACCTGCTGTGTAGGCATGTCCAAGGGACTTTACCAAATGCATAACAGGTCAGTGGCAGAGCCAGGAACAGATGCCAGGTTTCCTGAGTCAGTTTTTTGCCCAACCCATGGCATTGTCTCTTTCTCTCTTCCCCAAAGCAATTATGCCCCTGTTTCCTACCCCTCTTTCAAGTTTCCCCCAACACCTACTCAATGTTGATCCTTCCAGTGAGTAGAGAGAAACCTGGATTAAAGCTTCTTAACTATTCATTCCCTCTGAAAGCCCCCTCCCCCTACAGTAGAACGTCCTACCGTCCCACTTCTCATCTGTCAACACTGCAAAACTATACAAATAGTGCAGCTCTTTCTTTTTAGCCAATGTAATCCAAGTTCAATTGGGAAAGAAGAATGTTTTTCTTTCCCTTTATTTTTATTGCTGGTCACAAATCGGGTTCACTCCAATTCATCTAGCACATAAACGGTATGCTTTCCAAGTTAAACAAATTGCCTTTTTAAAATTCTGTTTCCTTTTCTTTGCAGGTAGAAGTCTGAAGTGAGAAATATTTGCCCCGGAAACTACGCTTTTCCTGACATGGACAGGTAATACGAGTATACTTCACTGATATTGTGCCTGCAATAAAACTAGGAGAAGGGAAATTTAAGAATTTCTTTATATGTGTTCTAAGTTAAGGAAAAGAAGGATATAATTCTGGTTTGACACCGAAAGGAGTTCCACATGCAGAGAGGACAGCATAAGCTGATGATTTCAGGCCCCCCTAGAGTGCTGCCAGATCCTCTGAAGGGTGCCACAAGGTGTGAGGAGGTAGATGAGGTATGAGGAGATAAGTAGATAAACCCAGGCTTAGACTTTTTCCTGCTAAACATTCCCCTACTCGTATTGCCCAGCCCTTGTGCAAGTGGGTAATTGCTGTGATATATAAATTAGTTTTTGAAACTGGGTGCCATTCAATTCACAGAAGTTCTGGAGTGGTGCCTTGAATCCAGTGAGGGGTGCCTCAAGCCCGAAAAGGTTGAGAACCACTGACATAAGCCATCTAGTTAATGATATGTGTAATGTGGTAGTAGGTGAGCAAAACTGCTGAGAGTTTTTGTTTCATGGAATTCTGCACAAAAGTTTCATTAAGAGTCATTGCATGGTTTGTCTTGTTTTAAATTCCCGTGTACCTAATATTACTACAAGTAGTTTTCAACCAGGTCAATTTGATAAATATGCTTCAGATCTGAAATATCACCCATCCATCTCTGGTACCCTGAAGAAGACATGACTGGCTGGCATGTGCTCATGTATTCTCGCCGAGGCAAGACAAGGCAAGGCCTGCTACAAAAGGTGGTCTTCAGCACTGGGAAGGTGCATCATGTGCATCACATCTTAAGTGCCATGTTATAATTAGTGCAAGCCTTACACATTATTGTCTTTAGTGTTGTCCCTTCTGTAAACTACTTCTTTTGACCAGAAGCCATGAAAAGTGACAGGGCTTCCTTAGTGAGAGGTGTATTAGTGGGTTTCAGTTAGTTAGGAGAGCCAGGGGTAGCAAGTGAGATCCTGCTGGAGCAAGAGTTAAGAGAAGAGGACTGGAAGCAACCATGTTTGCCCCCCATACCCTCATATACAACTGGCCTTGGAGGATTAGATATGGGGAAATGTAACACACTGGCAAAATAAGGCAGCACTTCTTGTCTTCTGTCCCTTGGCTTTGGGATACTGGAGAATTGGAGACATGTCTCAGAGGGTTTGGATTGCACTCCTTTCTTCCCCTAGTTCTGGTGCTATTCCAGGTTTAAAATTAAGGACTTAATTTTGATCTCTCTCCAATTTTTTGCCTGTGGCACCTGACCAAATTGAGTGGAATTTCTTTTGAATTACCCAACCTAAGTGTGATCAGGATCAGGACCTATGTGTTAGAGGCTTCAGAAATTAACATTAGATACAGAGAAAACAAAGGAGCTTCCCTCAAACTCAAAAGAAGATTTTATCCTGTGTTCATATCTAGTGTTCCAGTCTAAAGCAACCAGAAATTCTTTGTATACCTAGAGGTTGCAGATCAACTTACAGAAAGAAGAAAGAGCTTGTGCCAACACACTCTACAACTCTCTATCTTCAGTTGTGCTATCTGCTAACTCCCTGATGCAGTAAGTAAAACTGGAGTACTGATACCTTCAGTATGGCTGGTACAGTGCAGGAGGTGAACTAGTTTTTTAAGTGAGACTTTAAAAAGTTCATCACTAGACTTCATCCTATCTAGTGATGAAAAGAGCCAATCTTTTCATCACTAGACAGGAGCATCTTACCCTTGAGCAGCAGGTACTTGGGCATCCATTATGCTTGAGAGTATCCATTATGCATGAGGGTACTTTAAAGGAACTGCCCTCTTATAGGTGGCTAGTCATGGAGCTGTTAGACAGGAATTAGAGCAGGTTCTTGATACACGAATCCTTTTTGGGGATCTTCCTCCTTTTTCAGAATGTAACTAACTTCCTACTCCCCTCCCCTATTCCATCTCAATATACAAGCATCGGATTCATTTGAGACATTTTAGTCAGAAACCCATGAGTCAGAGTGTTCCTCATATAATTCCTGTCATCAGGAAGCTAATGGCATAACTTTAAAATATATAGAGGGCACTTAACACATGATGATGAGCATGAACATGTGATCCTTCATGTTTTAAGTGCCCTTAACAAAGTTTAATTGTAACATCTAATCTTACCCTAATGCTGCAGAGCAAAGAATCCCCTCTGTATAAGGGACAGCTTATATCTGAAAACTGTTCTTGCTAGCCAGAAACAATGCATATGCATAATCAGTCCTGGTAACTCTCCTGCTGTCTAGGAGCCTTTCTTCATGCCAGGACCCTAAAACAGTGATGCAATTTCAAAGTGTTGGCTTTCAGTGTTTCATAAGGGGTAACTTTGGACTGCTCCTAACACAGTAGGGTAATTTTTAGCCATGCACATGAGCTCCAAATCATGTGTTCTCTCTCTCTCTCTCTTTCTCTCTCCCGTTCCACCTCGCTATTTTGTGACTATGTCTGCACAGCAATAATTAGTTGTGGTGAGTGTTGGCTCACTAGACAATAGCAGAGGATATCAAGTGGCACAGGGTTCAGTACAGATTAGTCACCCAAGCAAAAGTCCAGGGCTGAACATGGCTCTCAAAGAGGGCAGATTAAAGCCAGGGCAGGTAGGTCTATGTGCAGCAGCAACTCCTAAATGTGACCTTAAAGTAGCCAAGCAAATAGATGAGGGCAGGGAGGGAAGGGGAGAGAAAATGCACATGCAAGCTTGTGTTGCATGTGTCCTCCTTATTACTCTGCCACCTGCATGAGAGCTACTCAACTGCTGCTGCTAATGGAATTCTGCAAACTAATGCACTTGAAAGTATGTCTTTTATTTAGTGTTCCAGCTGTGGCTACCAGACCTCTTGGCAACACAGTTGTGTAAAAAATGTAGATGCATTCTAAGCCTGCCAGAGTGGAGTAGGCATACACTTGGCTGTGCCCTCACGTGTGTTGGCCTGTGCAGCTGGCTGGGCACAAGGGGAAGAATTTTCAGGGTTTACTGTAAGTTACTCCTATACAAGAACAAGACAGGAGGAAGGAAGGGACCATGGCTCTGAGTCACCATTTCTTCCCACAACTTCTCCTAGGGCAGAAAAACTGCAACTATCCTTTGCACAGGATTGAATTTAAAGGACCTTGTTTCGCTAAACAAAGGGACTGTCAGTTACTTTAACTAAACAAACCTCCAAGAAAAGGAATTGACTGAGAAAACGATGCACAAAAGTGACAATTGTTCTTGAAGACGCACAAATTTTCCTGAAATATAACATAACATCCTGGTCCCAGGCTGAGCTCAGTAAGATGAGTTAAGAAATAACAGAGAGAGGAGCCACTGTCTTTATGCAATGCCATCCAACTGGCTTATAATTACAATCCTTTCTTTTAGTTTCCATGTTCCTTCTATTTATACATACCTAAACAACCCAAACCATTTCAAAACAAAAGTTCAATTTGCTTTCACAATCCATAGTTATCCATCTTGGTAATTTTTTCCCTAAGCTTGTTATTACAGCTGTGGATCACAGTTCAGTGCTTGTAAAATAAATCTGTTATCACAGCTTGCATATAATTAGTTCTAAATGTAGGTGGTTTATTTTCAATATCAGGATGTACATTAGGTATCAAAAACACTTAAGATGCCAGCTATCTCTGCACTTTATGACTCTGTCATTTACTGAGTTGGAGAAACAAATATTTAATGTGACAGCAACATTAAAATACAGCTCGGCTGATAAAGAGGCATGTCCTGCAATTTGCATTGCATGATGCAGCGATGAGCCTTACATACTAACAATGATGCAGCTCATCCAGTTCATAAAGCCTTTACTGTTCAAACATGGAGATCCTAAGGCATGTGTCATGCTGGCAAGGATAGGACAAATATTTTTAGATGCTAATGTAAATAAGCTACTTACATAAACTTGGATTGCAGTATAAAAAGCTATGAAAGCACATAATTTTGTAAATGTTTATCTGATGTCATACAAGGTTCCTAGATCTCATGTTAATCTACATTTACAGAACAGCTTCTGTGAATATTCTGTTTTTATATGCACATAGGAACACTTGCATTTTCATATTTCCTGTTTGATTTGATGGTATGCGCATGTGATTCAAGAGACCAGAATAGGGGAGAAACAAGCTTTTAAAACTAAAATGTAATCCCAATGGAGAGAGCACGTTCAGCTCTCTTAGAGATTATATTCCAAGCACTGACCACATCACTCTTGCCATGTTTCCAGCTTGTCATCTCCACAAAAAGCACATTAGTATTCAGAGATCCCAAGCTTCCTGCTTTTCTGACGCTCCTCCATAATTTTGATCAAAGTTTCCTTGTTCAATTTCATGGTGGTTTGAAGGATCTGTTGATGTCATAAGAGTTGTATTGTGAAAGTAAAATGATAGGACCTGACCCTGAGAGATACCAAGACCCATTGCTCCCCATCATCTAACTTTCTATGGTTACAGTGTCTCCGTCTTACAATGTCTACCAAGCACTTGACATGATTTTCCTTTTTCTTTGAAGGCTGAGAACTCTGAAAAAAATCTTGAAACAGTTGCTTGCGCTTGATCATTCTCCTAGATTGGGTAAGTTAAGAGATCTCTACAGTTTCTACAGCATGTAATGAGTTACAGTAAAAATAAATATAACATTTTGTTGTATGTGAAGCTGAGAGATGGGCCTAAAACCCAAACTCTGGATCTTGATTTAGGCTTCCTCCAAGTTTAGGGTAACTTGGAGCAGAAAGTCTCAATTTGGAAAATCTATGGATTTGTGTTGAAAGTTCTCTTACACATAATATGTATACTGAATTTAATTAGCCAACTTTTAATATATGTCCACTGCCATTTTAAGGCGTCTCCTAAGCTTATTGCCAGTGCACCATCTGAAAAGTAAATGGTCTCCCCCTGCGGACCACTTATGGAATCTACTCCTAAATGACGATAACATACTTTATTTATAAAACAACTTTTACTTTCTAGGTGCTTCATAGACAAAACATAGTGAACATGAACAGCACTCAGATCATGCATCAAAATAAAAAAATAAAAATCATTTGCACAAGAATTACACCCAAAAAAGCACAGTGCAGGGGTCATCAACCTGCAGCCCGCAAGCCAGATCTAGCCCACAGAACCATTTGTTCCAGTCTGTGGACATGGGGCTTTGGCATCAGTAGCTTTTCTGTGCTGAACTGAGTCATTTTGGCCCACAAAGGTTGCAGACCACTGGCATAGTGGAAAGCCTGTGTTTTGATTGTCAATGGGCCTAGACTGAGCTCCTGCTGCAAGCTATTCTTGAAAGGGGCAAAAGAGAAGTGTGGTGGCAGAGACGTTGAAGCATCTTTCTGTGGCTTCAAAGGTATGAATTTGAGCCCCACCTCAGACTTGTGTCGATGGCTTCTCTCCACTTGACCCAGCTATGAAGAGGTACCTGGTCATTGGGACTGGGTAGTGAAAAATAGCCTACACATAAAACTAGCTGTATGCTATTGGCTACAGAAACTGGAATGCTTCCGCCACACCAGACATAGGCTTGGAGATATTTTGAACATGAGTGACCATGGCTCATCATCAGGTCCCATCCTGAAATGTTCCTTCTCTGGTTGTGCCATGGGGAATGAGTGAGGAATTAATTCTATGGGGGTGAAGGTAGGACTGATGCACACTGATTATACTCTATGCTTCCATTTCTAAGAATGAAGGGGCAACCAGAGCTTTTTTTCATACATATGAATTGGAAGGGAAATCAATATGCTATTGCTGACAGGGCAGTTCAGTTGAGAAAACATAACATCTAATCCAACAAACACTCTTTAAAGTCAAATGAAACTTGCCATTGACTTCAGCGGGCATTGCTTTAGGTCGGTTGTTGGCAAGTTTGCAAAATCAGTAGAACTATAAACAATACATGTTTTCTTTAGATTCTTCTCCTTAATTTGAGTGCAGAGGGGACTAAGTTTGAACTGAGAAATTCAGTTTTATTAAGGCTCAAATTCAGTGTGGTGCAAAAGGGACTGTAGAAGAACCCTACATAAGCCCATGGCATGACTTCAATTTATGTTCAAGGCTGTTAAGCTCTTTTTATTCAGGTGTTCCATGGGCCTGGTGCTCACCCTCCATCTGAGGTGAATTTCAATGTTAGTAAAAATAAATATCTCAGTTTAAGTTGTTCTTAATGACTTGTGCATTCTCCTCACTGGGATGGATTTTATATATACATTAGGGCCGTGCAAAGCTGCAGGTGGTGATTTGATTCAGAAGAGATTCAGCCTGATTCGGTGGCCGAATCCCTGAATCCAAATTGAATCAGGGGACCAATTTAAAGGTCCAAATCGATTCAAAGCTATCTGAATCTTCAGAAAAGATTTGGAGAGCTTTGATGATTCAGACAGTCCCTGGTGGCTGCAGCAGGGAGCTGCAGCTGACTACAAACTCGTAAGTACTAGGGGCGGGGGAGGGGACCATGGGGGGGACCTCTGCCAGCCCTCTGACCCCTGCCCACTCCCCCAGCCCTCTATGGCTGCCCCACCCGCCCCAACTCGGTACTTTAAAAAAAAGCCCCGGTGCTCACTGGGTGCTGCTGGGCGGGGGGCGATCCCCGCTGCCCCCACTGCCCCACACTGCATGGGGAGCTCTGCACAAGCCCCCTGATACCCCCCAGCCCCCATGGGGCCCCACCCAGGCCAGCTCCAGCCCTTTAGGAAAATTAAAAAGCCAAGGAAAACCCCGGAACTCACCGCTTTCGCAGTAGCCTCGGGGGCTTGTGCAGAGCCCCCCATGTGGCATAGGGCAATGGGGGACAGCAGGGGTCACCCCCCATTGGCAGGAGCAGAGAGTCCTGGGGTTTTGGGGGTTTCTTAAACGACTGGAGCTGGCCCAGGCGGGTCATCCATGGGGAGGCTGAGGGAGCAACGGTGGAGGTTGAGGAGCTCATGCAGAGTCCCCCACATAGCATGGGGCAGTGAGGGCAGTGGGGATTGCCCCCGGCCCGGCAGCACCCAGTGAGCATTAGGGCTTTTTTTTAACAAGTGCCAGGAGCTGGGGTGGGCAGGGCTGCCGTTGCTGGGCTGGGAGAGGGGTGGGAGATGGGCCTGGCTGATTCAGAGATTCATCAGCAGCTGACTCTCTGAATCGAATCAGGACAGTGATTTGAATCACTGAATCGAATCACTGTCCCCCCAATCGGTCAAACCTGAATCTGCAGGGAATACTAACCACTTTGCACAGGCCTAATATATATGCAATTTTTGGATGGATACATTTTATTATATATAAAAATATATGTATATGTGTATATAACATTAGTTATATAGTAGTGTGGTTTTCTGACTGAGGCTTATGGTGGAAGGGGATGATGTGGGAAAGCTTGCAGTACTGGTAGGTACCTACATTGCCCTCCCCCACTTCCATACACAAGGTCTGCAAATAAAAAAGCACTACATTTATTTGCTTTTTGAAGTCTCCCTTGTTCCCAGCAAGTTATTACAGATTAAAGATAAGGAACATTGAAAAGCAAATTCTGTTAGGTACCCTGGATTTTATTGTAAAGCACTTGAGGTAACAGGGTTATGAAAAGTGCTATAGAAGGGTTTTATACCACTATTAGTCTCTAGAATTAGTTTCACGCTGCCCTGAAAAATGTAAGCGTGAACATGAATGAATTCGTTCCTCTTTGTTTATTGCTACTTCGATACCTAGATCGAGCTGGCCTGCCTAGCTAAGCTTCATAAGTTGCATTTTGTGGTTTCAGATTGTCAGTGAGGTCACTCACTGATGACTCAGATACACTGGCCTGAAGGTATTTATGTGATCACTGCAGTCGGCAGAAAAGCTGCCCTTCAGAACAAGGCAAATATATCCCTGCTCTTGATGGCTTCAGGCTCTGCAATGGGGGATGACCTGACAGCTGCTTGTCCTCAGGGAGAAATAAAGGAAAATGGTGAAACACATGCTATTTCCATGAATTTCCACTCATCTGCTTTAGAAAATTCAGCTGAGACATTGACAATAAAGGTTATACTTCTAGTGTCACAATGGAAAGGGAAGGAACTTTAACATGTATAATACTTAGCCTTGGCATACAAAACAGACTGCACTTCACATGGCATGTAATGTGCAAAAGTGCTGTAACTTAGAAAGATGCCGCCACTAAAAACTATCAATGGATATTTGTCTGAATGCAGATTTACAGCATCTGCTTTACATGTGGTTTATATTTAGATGGCAATCCAGATATCACTTTGCATAAAGTTCTGGTTTTTTGAGCTGTCCAAATCAATTGTCTTTAATCAAATATCAAATTTTCAGATGTTTATAGATGCACTCAGAAGTGGAGATTATTTTAGAAATCATTCAAAAGAATACCAACCAAAAAGAAATATGAACCAAATCCTAATGAAAATTCTTTCTTTTCACTAACAGGCAAAGAAAAACCACACATATGCACAGTAAAATAGACAGTTCCTTCTGACTGAATTTACTGCAGAAAAAAACTATTTGACGATCTTGTACAGGAAATAAGAGTTATGCTGCGTCTTTTTTTAATTTAAGCAGTACACACAAATCAAATGTATTTATTAAATCAATGTATAGTCATTTTTACAAGGAAGTGTAATTTAAAAACAGACATAAAAGATTTCCAAAGTAATGATACACATCTCTTTTGGACAAATGTTGTTTCAGGGATTTATGATAATTCCTTTTCTCAAAGAAAAATGAAACTAATTGAAACAAACTTTGTACTTTATATTAATGCCATTCGAATACAGTATGCACTGCCAGTTATAAAGTGACATTGAAAGCTGATGCTGTTCTCAACAACACCCTGGTTTCTCAGTTTTATGTACTTTTTAATTTCCTCTGTGGAAAATCTGGTCTTCATAAAAGGGCTGCTAAAGAAAATGTGGAAAAAGTTGATTCATTCCATATTTACATTCTTGCTAGTACCTGGAAATGAACCAATTACCAATCTGAGCCAAAAAAGAAGTTAGAAAAGTCATTTAGAAAACTCATCTTCCTACAGGCACTGTTTCAGAAGTGCCCTGGGAAAGTTCTGCTTTGATAGCAAACACCCTTCATCCTAATAAGATTTTGTATTTTCAACCCCTCAGCTAGTATATCTTACTCGTTGTTATTTGAAAAAAACCTTTCAATTTCCTTCAGCTAAACAGAAGAATATGGGTAGATCAGAACCTACAACCCTATATATCAGGAAAGGTCAGATCCCAATCTGAGCAGGTCTCCTCTTCAGGACAGACTGAACCACAACCCAGTTAAGAACACCTCTGAACTTTGACACATTTGGAGCCAGCATGTTAGTGAAATCCTGGCCAATGATGTTCATGGCAAAACACCAATTGACTTCATTGGGACCAGTGATCTAGCACTGTGAAAATGTTGCCTAATATAGACAGAGAAGCCTAGTGCCAAGTTCCCATTTTTGATAAACACTGATCTGTTAATAACATTTGCAATTTCAGATTAGCAATATTTGCAAAACCACTGATGCTACACACTTCAGTGAAAGCCTACATGCGCCATTTGTCATTTGCAGTGCTACAGGGCTTTCACTCAAAAAGGACACTCCTCCAGAGATACAGATTGCACTTTTGAAAGAGCCACCCAGATACCACATGAAGAATCGCTGCAGTACAAAACTAAAATCCCCACGAATCACACACCATTAGTTATGACACCATCCTTCTCTGGAACTTATACAGAAAATTCTCAAACACTTGCAGCCCATACTAGAAGAAGACCCGATTCTTAAAGAGATCTTCCCAGAACCACCCATCCTAGTCTTTATATAAGCACCGAACCTCACCAATCTCATCAGCAGAAGCAAACTTCCTATGGCCCAAAGCACGCTGAATGGATCTAGACCATGCTGGGACAAAAAATATAAAACCTGTCAATACATCTCCACCACTCCCACAATCACTACACCACACAACAGAATGATCACCATTCCTGGATCTTACACTTGCACCTCCAGAAATGTAATATATCTCATTCAGTGCACTAAAGTCCCTGGTGGAAAATATGTAGGAGAAACCAAACAACAACTGCATACCAGAATGAATGCACACCAAAAATATATCAAAGACAAAATCACCCAATTACCTGTGGATGTGCACTTTTCACAAGACAACCACTCATTCTCCAGTCTTTCAGTTCTAGTTCTCAAAGTGGATTTACAAAACACCTTTTGTAGACAAGCCTGCAAACTTTACTTCGTAAATCTATTGGATACAAAAAATCATGGACTACATATACATTCTAACCTGCCTGCCATCCAATAACCCCAGGTAACCTGTCTGCATTTTACCAACTACAGTGTATCACCCGCTTTTCATCCACCACCTACCTGTCTCACACCTATTGTCTCCCTTCTCCTCTGATCGTTACTGCCACACGTTTACATTTCCACAGACCTGCATGTTGCATATTGGCTTCTGTTCCATCCAGGAGAACACAGAATACCAGCAGACTCTCCCTATACCTGAGGAAAGGTGTTTGTGCCTGAAAGCTTGCAAAGAACAATTTTTCCAACTATTTAGTTGGTCTAGTAAAAGATATCACATCTACCCAGAGAACCTTGTCTGACACTGATACATTGACATCCTATATTTTCTTAGTCATTAAAAGCTAAGAGAATACCAAAACCAGGAGTGATATATTGGACTCGGCCTCTGTTTGGATGACAGACTTTATATAGTTGTAATTTAATCCCAGTTTCTTCTTGGGATCATAGACGATGCATAAAAGGGGCCTGGGGGGGGGGGGGGGCACGCACCTGAGATTAGCCACCACCGGCTTCTACGGGTGGTCACCACTCACCAACCCCCCCTTGCTGCTGCCGGCATCTGTGGGCAGTCGCCACCACCACCACCAGGGTCTGCGGGCAGTCCCTGCTTACTGCTCACCACTTCCCCTCCCCCCTGCCACCATCACCAGAGTCTGCGGGCAGTCCCCACTCACCGCTGCCACCTACAAATGGTGCCCCCCGCCCCCCCGTTTCAAGTTTGGGGTGGATCTATGCCACTGCACACATGCCATTACCTTTCTGCCTTACCCCAATAATCTGTGCAGTTCCATCAAAACTCTTTCAACTTGAAACATGTAGTGTGCCCAGTATCCCAAACTGTATAATTCTGTATGCCTCTTGTCAGTGTTGTTCCTTCAACTTTACATCAGGTGTAAAGCCCACCAAACTCTCCCAAAATAGCCATTACTTTCCAGAGAGTCTCATGATCAGGAAACTATAAGGAATTTAGTTACTTAGAGATTTATTTAATCCTTTTCCCTTTCTGTCTATGCTAACCAAAGATTCAGTAATACTCTTACTATTGAAACATTATTAATATCTTTGTTGCACATCTTGGGATTTTATGTATCATGTCGTTATAATTATTATAGATACAGGTTTGAGGTAATCCATTTGACCATACTGGAACTTCTTGCATAAAACTCTTCTAGATTAATATTTTAATAATTTTATTTTGACTTGCAAATTAGAAAGTAAGCTTGTTCCACAGACTCCTTTTTTTAACAGAGCAAGTACAAGGGACCTGAATTTTCAGGACAGACTTTAACATTCACATTTTCAAAAGTGATTTGGCGTGACAGTTTTATCATTTCCAGTTTGAAACTGGAAGGTGGATTGCCAAAAAGCAAGGTAGTTTCCACAGTCTTTGGTCACTACTGAAACGTTCAACCTAAATTAATTGTGGTTTTCTACTGTCTTCCCCCTTCAGCATTCACATTGCCACATACTTTCAGCTTTACATAAACAGCCTATTCTAATCAATCGGGCCAGACTCTTGGGGCTAGCTGTTTGCTTCCAAATTCACTTGAGGGACCTACAAGGGCTTACAACTTCTGTACAATTTTCAGGCTATAAGAGTCCAGCATCAGAGGGGCAACCTTGAGGCTTCTCTAAGTTGAACCATCTGATAATAGCCAACAGGTCATTTTATCAGCCAGGAAACCACAAGAGTTCAAGGTGTACCCTCTTGCTGTAGTCATATAGCCTATGCATGGGAGGATGGTATCAGGACTGGTACACTGATCCTATACCACATAAGAATTCCCAGATGGTAGGGAGATCATAAATTGATCAGTCACACCAGTTTTAAGCCTTTTTATGCTGCTCAGGTAGAACAAAAAAAAGTCCTAACAGACTGGTGAATGTGGCCCTCCATCCTTTCATGTCCCATCATTTCTTTCATTTGTTAACACTAGCATGTGGTTATAAAACCTTTATAATTCAAGTTTTACCTACTAGAAAAAATATTAGAAATGTAATAACTACTGAAGATTTTTAAGCAGACAATTTAATATGCAACTATGAGTTCTATTCCCTGGGTTTCCCTTCTAGGTACTTATGGCCTTTAAGTTCTCTGAAATATAACAGAAATGATAAAAGTACAATATTGCCTTGACTTTACTCTTGTGTAAATTAAAAAATTCCTTTCAGCAGTAAGTACGCACATATGAATTCATTCTGATTTGCTAGAGAAGGGGGTACTTCTCTAGAGGTTCTTACGAAAAAAAATAATAGTAAAAGGCTCTGTGTCACATAATTACTGTATGTGGAGGAACACCTCCCAAGAAATACTTGGAAATAATTGCAGAAATGCATACCATACACTGCTTATTGTGTCCCTGTGCTGTGTTTAGAGCAATAAAACATAAACATTTCTATTGCTTTGCTTATAAATTTAAAAAAATGAAATTTCACTCCACTGTGGGTACTTTATACATTTGGTTTATTGCACAAAGTGTATACAAATACAGTTCTAAATTCAATATTTGTATTGTAGATGAATTTCTGATTATAACAATATGGGAAATGTGCTAAAGAGAAAGGAAATGCTATTCAACAACTACACAAGACAAACTTATTTTGTTCCATAAATTATGCAGTTCTGTGTTTATGCAGTTAAGTTAATCCTAAAAAATTATTCTGTATAAAGGTATTGAAATATTATATAGTGCATTGGGACAGCATCTGTACATTTCCTTCTCTTCAGTACTGCTGCTTTGGCCTTTAATAGGAAAGAAGATGTTTTTTCATAGAACTGGGTTTAATAAAAATTTGATTTGGCATCTGCACTGTACAGTCCCACACAAGGCCCAAAAGGTTGCTTGTTCTGGGGCTCGTGTGGGTTTCAACAGCATTGAAACTGGACAGATTTTTTATTAAATTCTGGTACAGGAAGAAGAGTAGAAAGTTGAATTTCCAGCACTAATATGATTTTTATTCATTTTCCCGTCTGTTAGTTTTTGCACTTATATTGTGAGTTTCATTTCTAAGAGCAGTTTGATGGACACCATGCATTTCCACTGCTGCTCATTATCTGAGAAAGTCCAGTCTTTCCAGTCCCTTCTGTCCTATATAAAATAGGATAAACCTTGTCCCATTTCTTACTCCAGAAACTCAAATAAAAAGTCTAGAAAGAGGGAAATAAATATGGAAAAATGGCACTGCTCAGAAGCAATCTTTTTTATTTCTCTTAATAGTTTTATAGTTATCTTAATTTCTGGGCATTTTGCCAGATAGGAAGTTGAAGTTAAAAGCTTAATTTGTTGAGACTACAGTATCTAGCAGCCTTTGTGTTTGCTTCTATTAGTTACAGTAACACCTGGAAACCAAATGAAATAGGCCCCATTGTGATAGGCACATACAAACACCTGGTGAGAGACTGTCCCTGTCCTGAAAAAACTTAGATTCTCAATAGCTGGTGGAGAAAAAGCAGTGGAAGAAATTAATTATATCCCCCATTTAATGGATAATGGAGAAAAAAGAGTTAAATGA